AACTATGCAGGTCAAATGGGATAGCTGTGTGTCTGCATCCTTTTGTATCAGTAATGGAGTCAGACAAGGTAGCATTTTGACCCCTATACTGTTTAATTTCTATATGAATGACCTCTCTAAGTAGCTAAACTTGTGTAGAACTGGCTGCATGGTTGGAAATGTAATTATAAATCATTTAATGTATGCTGATGACCTAGTAATGCTTAGTCCAAGTTCAGCTGGTCTTCAGAAGCTGCTTAATGTCTTTTCAGTATATTGTGAACTTCATGACGTCAAATTCCATCCTTCAAAAAGCATCATTATGATCTGTCGCACTAAAGAGGACAAAAACATAATATTTCCAAATTTTAAACTATCTGGTATTTTATTGAACGTCTCAAATGAAGTCAAATATCTTGGTCATGTGTTGACAGACCATCTGTCTGATGATGAGGACATTTGCCGTCAGGTCCGAATGATATCCTTGTCCGGAAGTTTGGATTCTGTTCTGACGAAGTGAAACTGAACTTTTTCAGATCATATTGCACATCACTGTATACGGCACATTTGTGGTGCAACTTTAAAAAAGCCAGTCTTCATAAGTTGAAGGTGGCTTAGGCTATAATGATGCACTAAGACTTTTGTTAAATAAGCCCAGATGGACCAGTGCCAGTGAATTGTTTGTATCTGTTAGTGTAAGGACTTTTATGGCTGTTTTGAGAAAGCTTATATATAAATTTATTTGTCGTCTAAATGAGTCTGATAATAGAATTATTTTACTGATGACCAGTGTCAAATATAGTGCAGTTAAATATTCTTCTGTGCTTTGGAGACATTGGTATAATTGCCTCCTGAAGGGGTAGGCACCTGTTGTACTTTTATTCTTTTTTTATTCTTAGTGTATCTGTTTCTTTTAATGTATATTGGACCTTGAGTCTGTAATAAAATCAATCAATCAATCATATTATGTTATGCAATACCTTTATATTAGGAAAAGATTACAGCACTGACGTGTGCTGGGATGGGGATGTCATTGTCCGAAATTAGAAATTATTTTAAAAAACTAAAGAAGCTCAAACAGCACTTAATTCAGTTCAGTTCAATTATTTATATAGCACCAATTCACAACACATGTCATCTCAAGGCACATTTCAGAGACAATTCAAATAGGTCATACAGTCAAACTTATTCAGTTTTCTATAAAAGAAAAACCAGCTGATCGCATCAACTCAAAGACAATCCCTCACACAAGGAACTAAGCTACACCTCAACCTTAATGACGAAACTCCAGGGTTTAGTATTTAACAGCTCATGATATATGTTATATTTAGCACCATAGAGAATGAGCTGGCTAGATTTGTTAATCCGGAAGAGAAGTGGAATAGAAGAAGAAGATTACTTTTGTTTGCAATATACATGTGCAAGGTTGAGGTAAATCAGATTGTAGTTACTTGTAGCTCTACTTCAACAGCATATGTTCACAATAACCTCTCAATGTAATGGCTTAGAAAGTAGGTCCCAGAATTCAGAGAAGACAGACAGTGGTATACTTAAAAAGAGTTTATTTGAACAATAATGGAATGGATCTGCAGTGGTGGAGGCTGCAGCGGCTATCGGACAGAAGCACAGGTTAATGACTGTGATTATCTAACGGAGGATGATTATGAGTGTGTGAGTCACTAACCTGGTTTGACAATTCAGTCTGTGCCAATAGAACAAGGATGATTCCAGCTGGTGGGCTTACAAGACACAGTGGACGCTGCCAAAGAGTTCCAGACGTGGAAGCCTAGAAGACTTTCAGAGCTGACAGGAGATGAGATTCGAGCTGATGAAACAAGGCAGGATAATTTACAGGGCGAAGTCAAGAGGTATATCCAGGTTCAGTCCAAAGAAGAATCCAACAGAAGTCCATAGACAGGCCAGGTAAACAGATCAGACAGGAGCAGGCAGGCTCAAAGGTCCAAATACAGAAACGGATCATGATCAGGCAAACAGAATGCAAGAAAAATGCTAGAGAACTCTCAATACCAAAGGCTCAAGAATAATCTGGCACTGATGGCTGGTAAAAAGTTTAAATAAAAGCAGGTGGATCAGATGAGCAGTAATGAGGAACAACGCAGAGCTAGACAGGTGGATGAAATGAGCAATCAAGCCACCCACCAGCTCCAAAATCATGACACACAAGGGCCGAACTGAGTTTAAAAAATGTTTGATTCCAACCAACCAAATGATTCGTGATCAGAAGGGTGGGTGTAAGAGGTTAACTGACCCATGTTGCCCACTGTATACGATGCAATGCATGACAAACGATAAAGCTGAAAGCCAATTAAACAGACTGCAAGCGGAATCTGGGCCCCAACCCCCCTGCAACCCTGGGCTCCAACCCCCCTGCAAACCTTTTATTGTCCTGAGGCTTTCAGTGAAGAGGGGCTTATGATAGTTTCCAATCAATTTTGCCCTTCAATTCTGCATAATCAAATCTCATCCTTGATAAAAACATCATCTCCTTTTTTTAATTCTTTAAGCCTTTAAAATCTAAAAAAAGGCCTTTTTTCACATCATATCATTTCTCTTGTTTTTGCTAATTTCAGCATTCAAATCTAGAACATTTTTTGTTTTTGAAAATCTTGAACCAATGTGACTTGCTATGAGTCTTTGTTGTTTATCATGAAAACTGTGTATCTTGACGATCTTGATAAGAATATGTTAGGGATAAGAGAATTATTTTAAAGGTCATCAGGGAATTTACCTTGACTTAACATTCATTATCCAACATTTAGACGTAATGAAAGTTATGTCTGTAACCAGAGTTCTACTGTATCAATCCATGATGACTGCCAATGACAGTGCTTCATGCACTGAATGATCATCTTTGAGCATGTTAAAGGAATAGTACACCCAAAACATGATTAGCCTTCATTTTCTACTCACCCCCATGCTGAACAACACTCTGGAGTACTTTTTTGATATCTCAAATGCATCTGGAGATCTGGGAGGCTTCTTGCTGTCTGCTGACATTCAAATAATGGAGGTCTATGGCGCCCGAGACAGAAAGGTCCATAAAAGTCCACAAAAACGTGTCAATATTCCTCCATAATGCTCGTCCAATGTAATCCAAGTGTCCTGAGTGGGTAGCGTCCAGAATTTACTCGAAACTAAGTCATTTAGAACGTTTTAGAGCCTAAACAGTAGTGTATAGGATTTCCTAATAGCGCCCCCATGCGCGCTCACGATTCTACGGAAACCGCGGCAGACCAAACCGGAAGAAAGTGCGCATTCAGCGTCTGCTCTGCCGATAATGCAAGCGTAGAAGAAGAAGTTCCGCTTTTCACCTGTTTATTTTCTGCCCTGAGCCAGGTGAGCACGAGGTCAGTCTCTCTCAGAGTTTGAAAAAGTTGTTGATTAGTGATTTTAGTCGTGAAATTAAGAAGATGGTTCGAGTGTGTTCCTATCCTGGATGCTTCAATCAGATGAAGCGGCAGTGTGGAATAACCCATTCCGTAACTTTCCACAAATTACCTCTTCGGGACCCTGAAAGGCTAAAACTGTGGCTAATAGCTCTACGAAAAGATCTAAGGACAGCTAACGTGGATTCTCTCCGTGTCTGTAGTGAACACTTTTCAGCGGATGATTTCCGAACCTGTAAAGGAAGAGCTTTATTAAAGAGTACAGCTGTGCCGATGGTGTCACAACTAAGGACAGAGGTATGTACTTTATAAACCATTTATGTAACTTACACGTTTGTATATGATCTGTATTTTTACCGGTACTTTTTTAAAAAACGTTAAAATGTTAAAACACGCTAATATTACTTGAGTAAAAATGTTAACTTCCACATCAATTTGGACAATCATGGAATTTTTTACAAGTCATGTTATTTTAGTTGCTTTGTTATCATACGGATTTTTTTTACACTGTATGTATGTACAACCCACCTATTGACAAACACCCGCTCCACAGCTCAGTGTGACATTATATTAATTTTGTGATCAATCAATGTGATCATTGATGGCCTGCAAGTTGTTAGTGTTTAGGAGTTAATAAAAAATAAAAATCTGGATGATAATAACTCAACTTTTAGCACCCAGGGAAATACTAATGTGATCCATGATTTAAAATACATAAATAAATAAATAAATAAATAAATAAATAAATAATATTTATCTTTTTGTCTTTACAGCCCAGGCTTCTCCGCAAAATACAACACCTACAGCTTCATGGAGGACACAACAAATGAAATAATCCTTTTTCAGTTAGTGCAGGTAAGGGAAATTATTATTTCATATTTCATATTACAACATAATATGAGAACAATTGTCAATTGTGTGTTTACAAATTGACTGCACAAAGATACATATGCATATATTTTGTAGTTTTATTTGGATTTTGGTCATTCTAATTGGCAAATAATAATTGTGAAGCGGAAGACTGTGATCTATGTATATGTTTTTTTTTTTAGAGGGTGGGATTGAATTTGGTTTTGTACTTAATCCCACTCGTTTTCGTTCTTCAATTTGATAAATGTAGCCTACATTATTTTTTAAATTTCTATATTTATCTATTTTCAGTTTTCTTTTTTTATTGTATCTTTTTTTTTTAATATTATTATTATCTATTGTATTTATTATCAATTTTGGTGCATTTCTTATATTGTTTTTCTTCCTTTTTTTTGGGGTAATGTTTCTCATTTTCATCATGTGCGGAATGAAATTAAAGAAGTAAATAAATGTATGTGTAATATGTGGAACATATTACAAAATCAATGTTGCTATCGGATTATGACAAGCACTGTCCCATCAAAGATGTATGAAAATGATTTTAAACATTAAATTTTTGTTTTGTGGTACAGGTGACAGAGGCATCCAGCTCTGCTGCCATGGAGCCAGTGGGGTTCAGGAGAGGACTTGATTATCTCCTTGAGTAAGGTCTTGAAGTGGAGGTGGTAACCACTGACCGATCACCATCTATACGAAAAATTATGCGCGAAGAGTATCCGGAAATCCACCATGAGTTTGACATTGGGCATGTTGTCAAGGGTAAGCTGACAAATTGTAATTTGTAAATGTACAATGGTAAAGGAATTACTATAATGAGGAAAATGTTTTTACAATATACTTTGGATAGCCCTTGTACAGCCACATAAACTTTTACATAATTTACCCCTCCCTTGCCAAAGCGCTGGCACCTGCCTAGGTTATACACAGCCCCATTGTGATCCCACACTCCTCTATTACCTGCTCCCACCTTGTACTTCATACCCACCAAGACTATGTTGACGTCACCCATGTGCAGAAGTGCAGTCTGTTGGGACTGTACATCTCCAATCACCTACACTCTCTGAGCCCTGAGCTCCCCATTGTCGTTAAAATTAAATTAAATGAAAAATACTTTATTTATCCCAGAAGGTAAATTAAATATTTTAAAAAGCTCACACTCCTTTCTTTTTTTCGAAACAACAAAGCAATATTGTCTCTAACACCTGGTTCCCTTGATCCTTCCCAAACTCTTTGATCCACCTGTATGAACAACATGTCCTGTCTAACGTTTAGTGCCACCTCAGTGACGTTGCCACCATACACCTGGTGGATACATTTCTTGTACTCCCCAACCAGACTATTTTATAAAGGAATAAGTTTCTTGGATGAGAGACAAAACATCTTCTACTCACACGTTTACTCCAGTTGCCATATTTTATGCTTGCTTGAGACTCATTGACGATTGTTCTGTTTTTGGTAGGGCTAATGAAAAAATTGCTGTCAGCATCCAACAAAAAGGACAACCGAGACCTGCAACCATGGATAAAATCCATCTGCAATCACTTGTGGTACGCCTGTTCCACTTGTGGAGGTGACCCTGATGTGAGTAACATCACATTCTTCACATTTAGGCAACATAAAGTTATGATAATAATAACTGATCATGCATCATGTCATGCTTCTTTTTGTTTTCTTTTTCTTTTGTTTTCTTTTGTTTTTACTATGGACCTCTTTTGTGTCTGAAATAAAGATTGATTGATTGATTGATATTATGTTTTCTCAGGGAAGCTTGAAGTATTCCATGCATCTATGCTGAAATACACAGAGAAGAGACTGCACTTCCACTACTCAACAATGAAAGCTCGCACCCAGCTTGCCGTTATGGACCACAATGAAAATGTTCAGCGTGAACAGGCCTACACCAACACAGGTAACAAGAAAGTATCTTCAAAACAAAAAAACCTAACCTTGTGCGCTGTGCTCAGTGTCATATACTCATTTATGTCCTCAAAATGAGCTGTATTGAAAAAACAGCAAACATTACATTTAACCTTCAATGGGAACCGCACCTGTTTAGTGAGCTGCTGCACTAAGATCTGCATAACAAATATGGTACTTTATGGTCCTAATTCTCACCACCACAAAATTACAAGTACCAGATTCCTAATTATTTGGATACAATTTCTTGGTTCCTTTTTTGAAACCTAAAACCGAAACTTTTTGAATGCTTTATAATAGCTATGTTATTTCATTAATGTTTCCTCTGTCTTACATTTTCTTCTTTGTTTTTTAGGACAAGCACGGTTCAATGTGGTTTACCCAAGACAAACAAAAGAATGGGTCGCCAAAAAGATCTATGTTCCAACAACACAAACATTCCGGCAAAATCTGGTGGTGCAAGTTGTGCGGAGACGCCTGGACCCCAACATCAAGATCAAAGACCCCCAGTCATATGTTTCTATCCCTCCCATACCAGAAAACATTGCTCAGAAACCAAAACCTGCCAAAGAGGAAGCCATACAAAAACATACTTCCCGATACAGCAGTTAGTCTGAGTGGTGCAGTATTTTTACTCTTGCCTTTTTATATTTGTACTTATGCAAATAAAAAGTCTAGCTGGTGGCATGTAATTTTAACCTTTTTTTTTTTTCAAAATTCTGGGATACAGAGTCTGATAAGGGGTTTACTTAATATAGTTATGACATGACATTTTTAAATAAAATGGCATGTGTCTGTGGTTGGTTTGTCTGCATTTCACACTTAGGTCTAGAATAAATATTTAATCAAAGGAACAGAGTTACATCTTTCTTACCATCCAAAGTCATTTTGTTTATTTCCAAAACAACACAATAGTACAGGAAAGGTTACAGTTATCGGCTACATAAATTCTGAAATGTTATCTATAATGAGGCAGTATAGGTTTGTGATTTGGGAAAAAATATGAAATATAATGAAGTAGTACAAATTAATATGGAAGAGTCTCTTAGGATTTGTTTATAGTCTTTACAACTGTTCAAAAGCTGCCTCTGCCTCCTTGAAACCAGTATACACTCCATCTGGTGAAGGGTAGCTGGGATGGATGCTTGTAACAATACAGGCTGGTAAAACTCTTCTGCTGTCCTTGCCAAGTCTCTCGCCTTTCAGAATCCACTCGAGTACCACACGCTAGGCCACCAACCTGTACTGACTGGGGGAGGGGGGGGGGGGGTAAAATGGAGCCATTATTTTAGCAATACAAGTGAAAAAGAAAGCATCTCATCCAGGACACAAGCTGGGTAAGATGCTGAGTAAACAGACTTTAGTACTAGCATCACATACAAAAAACTGCACAGTGAGTACCATTAACATTATGTATCTATATATATATGATATATATATATATATATATATATCTATATATATATCATATATATATATATATATCATATATATATCATATATATATATATGATATATAGGGGGGGCGCTAGTGAGCAATGGAGGAGTAGGCAGCATTTCCTTGGAGCTCCTGCAAATTAGACATACACTATATTGCCAAAAGTATTTGCTCACCCATCCAAATTATTGGAATCAGGTGTTCCAATCACTTCCATGGCCACAGGTGTATAAATTCAAGCACCTAGGCATGCAGACTGTTTTTACAAACATTTGTGAAAGAATGGGTCGCTCTCAGGAGCTCAGTGAATTCCAGCGTGGAACTGTGATAGGATGCCACCTGTGCAACAAATCCAGTCGTGAAATTTCCTCGCTCCTAAATATTCCACAGTCAACTGTCAGCTGTATTATAAGAAAATGGAAGTGTTTGGGAACGACAGCAACTCAGCCACGAAGTGGTAGGCCACGTAAACTGACGGAGCGGGGTCAGCGGATGCTGACGCGCATAGTGCGAAGAGGTCGCCAACTTTCTGCAGAGTCAATCACTACAGACCTCCAAACTTCATGTGGCCTTCAGATTAGCTCAAGAACAGTGCGCAGAGAGCTTCATGGAATGGGTTTCCATGGTCGAGCAGCTGCATCCAAGCCATACATCACCAAGTGCAATGCAAAGCGTCGGATGCGGTGGTGTAAAGCACGCCGCCACTGGACTCTAGAGCAGTGGAGACGCGTTCTCTGGAGTGACGAATCGCGCTTCTCCATCTGGCAATCTGATGGACGGGTCTGGGTTTGGCGGTTGCCAGGAGAACGGTACTTGTCTGACTGCATTGTGCCAAGTGTAAAGTTTGGTGGAGGGGGGATTATGGTGTGGGGTTGTTTTTCAGGAGCTGGGCTTGGCCCCTTAGTTCCAGTGAAAGGAACTCTGAATGCTTCAGCATACCAAGACATTTTGGACAATTCCATGCTCCCAACTTTGTGGGAACAGTTTGGAGCTGGCCCCTTCCTCTTCCAACATGACTGTGCACCAGTGCACAAAGCAAGGTCCATAAAGACATGGATGACAGAGTCTGGTGTGGATGAACTTGACTGGCCTGCACAGAGTCCTGACCTCAACCCGATAGAACACCTTTGGGATGAATTAGAGCGGAGACTGAGAGCCAGGCCTTCTCGTCCAACATCAGTGTGCGACCTCACAAATGCGCTTCTGGAAGAATGGTCAAAAATTCCCATAAACACACTCCTAAACCTTGTGGACAGCCTTCCCAGAAGAGTTGAAGCTGTTCTAGCTGCAAAGGGTGGACCGACGTCATATTGAACCCTATGGATTAGGAACGGGATGTCACTTAAGCTCATATGTGAGTCAAGGCAGGTGAGCAAATACTTTTGGCAATATAGTGTATTTTTAGTACTAAATTGACATTTGGACAACAGTACTATAGGAGTAAGACAACTCTAGACTTCATTTAACTGCACCAGGACATGAGGAAAGCAAGTTTGAGGATGCAGACCTCCAACAAGGACAAGAAAGCGAAAGAACCGGGCTCAGCCACCCCGGACTCGCCTGAAGCTAGCTATCCGATGGCTAATGCTACCATTCTGGATGCTATAAACTCCCTCCGCACAGAACTACAAACCACCAAGTTTGAAATTTGTCAAACAATAGACACCCGCATCGAGGAGGTGTCCGCCACTATCAGAGGAGAACTCCTCGCCCTCAAGACCGAGACTCAAAATGCTATTCACGTCCTGAAAACGTCGAGCGACCAACATGGCACATCCATTGCTGATCTAGAACGAGCGGCCACACAGTCAGCAGACGCCATAACCACGCTAGAGTCGGAGATAAAACGTCTACGTGCAGAAACGAACCAGCTAACAGAGAAATACATGGATCTTGAAGGAAGGACCAGACGACAAAATATACGGATTGCAATGTTAAGAGAAGGAGCAGAGAAAGGCGCAGAACTGAACGGATTCGCTTCGCAGCTCCTAAAGGATGTACTGACTCTGGATGACTTACCACTGGTGGATCGCGCTCATAGAGCTCTAAGAAGGCGTCCAGACGACACGGGACCTCCTCGGACGTTGGTGGTGAGACTCCATTACTACCGCGACGTTACAATGATCCTCCGGAAGGCCGCGACTCTGAGGGACCTCACCTACCGCGGGCAGAAGATCCGCATCTTCCCCGACTTCACACCCGAGATTGCGCAACGCAGAGCTGCATTTAACGGTGCCAGAGCACTTCTTCGGGACAAGCCGGGAGTTCGGTATGGTCTTTTATATCCTGCAAAACTGAAAGTGACTTACAGAGGAACAGAAACAATGTTCACAGACGCGAAGGAAGCCCAGAAGTTCGCGGAACTCCACTTTGGTGCCGGTGGGGGCGGTGCGGGCGTCCCCGCGGCGGACAACTGATGCAGACGCGGAGTGGCTGGATTCTGGTAGTATTCAGTGTTGGACTGTCCTGGGATGTTTATCCAGCTAATTTTATATAAAGTTTAAATAATGTTTAGAATCTTCATCTTGGTAACATGATTACCTGTCTTAAGTTTTGTTGATAATTGAAATGGGCTGATATTTATAAATAGGCAGCTTATTTTTCATACCATTTCTTTTCAACCGTTCAGATGTTAGTTTGATGCTTAAATTTTATATTACTGCAGAGCCTCTTTTTACTTCTAGTTAGGAGTTAGTAAAAAGGGAAGTTGTTAGTAGAGTAGATGTGTCTTCTTTGTGTGAGTGTTACTCTTAAGTTATGTTTTTTGTTTATTTTTTTCTTTTTAACTTCCTCAGAGGGGTCGCGCCTTACTTCGCAGGTTCTTCTTAGTATAGGCAAGACAGTAAGTGTTTTGTTAGGGATGGGCTGGGACTTGTATATGATATATAATAATTTCTCTCACACTTATGAGGACCTCTATATTCCTTTTCATTCTAATCTGAGTTATGCAGGTTAATACAACACAGACAAAGAAGGGCGGACAAGTTACCTTGGTCACATGGAATGTTAAAGGGTTGAATAATCCTGTTAAGAGGGGTAAGGTATTAGCACACCTAAAGACATTGTCCAGTGATGTAATTTTCCTTCAGGAAACCCACCTTAATAAAAATGAGCACATAAAACTGAGATGTAGATGGACAGGGCAGGCTTATCACTCTACTTGTGCAGTGAGGGCTAGAGGTGTGGCAATATTATTCAAAAAAGGTACACCTTTCACCCTTGAGTCAACCATATCTGACAGGGAGGGCAGATATTTAATATTAGTTGGAAAACTGTACTCTGCTCCTATAACTCTGGTTAATATCTATGGCCCCAACAGAGACTCTCCACTTTTTTACAAACACGTTTTAGCCCAAATACCTAACATCTCGCAGACTAATCTGATTATCGGAGGGGACCTAAACCTTGTTTTAGATCCATACCTAGACCGCTCGTCAACACGTAGAGCTCCGGCCTCTAACGCTAGTACTTTCCTTAAGGAATACTTAAATAACTCTAATTTGTTTGATAGCTGGAGGATTTTCAACCCACAAGAGAGAGCCTATTCATTCCACTCAAATGTTCATAATGTGTACACACGAATTGATTATTTATTGATGGATGCAAAGTTACTGCCCTATACTAGCGAAGTAAAATATCACAATATATCAATTTCAGATCACGCCCCCCTTTCGCTAGATTTACATTTAGATCATTTGAACCAAACCGAAAGAATATGGAAATTAGACCCACAATTATTGAAAGAACCAGATTTCTGTAAGTTTGTCAAAGAGCAGATTATATTTTTCTTTGAAATGAATGACCTTCCGGGAACATCCCCTTCAATATTGTGGGAAACTATGAAAGCCTATTTAAGGGGAGGTATTATATCTTTTCGAGCAGCAAAGAGGAAAAGGAATCGTGCAGAGTTAGTGGATTTAGAGCAACAAATTAAGCGTCTGGACAAGGATAATGCTACACACCCTTCCACAGAAACCCATAAAAAAATTCTTTCACTGAGGTACAAATATAACCAATTATTGTCAGACCACATTACTAGAGCCTTCATTTTTACTCAACAGAAATATTTCGAATTTGGGGAGAAACCTAATAAATTATTGGCTAGACAATTAAGGAAAATGGAAAGTGACCGTACAATTAACAAAATTAAATCAGAAAATGGGGAAATTTTAATCTCACACAAAGACATTAATCATAGATTTAAGCAGTTCTATGAGTCATTGTATTCCTCCAACGCTGTGAAAGATGATTTAA